CAGAAAAGCAGTTTAAAATGTTGGAATAAATTTAATAAAACTTTTGCCTATCATGATATTCTCAATTTTCCAAGTATGATAATTATAACTGTTTTTCAACTTTATTGGACTCGTGATTTGCATAACTGTTTCACATCATTTAATTCTGAAATATTAAACTCTTTATACTTGAAATATATTAATCAATTATCTAGTTTAGTTACTGAATTGAGGAATTGTACAATACAAAAACACAAAGATATATTAACATCTTTAATTATTATAGTCAGTAATCAAAAAGACATCATTAGATTATTATTAGACAAAAGAATTACTCAATATACAGACTTCACCTGGCTTGCACATTTAAGATACTATTTAAAGGAAGATTATGTTACTATATCAATGTTTGATGCAAATATAAAATATGGATATGAATACAGCTATTACAAACAATGTATAGTTAATACTACTCTTACAGAGAGATGTTTCTACACACTTACACAGGCATATAAATACCATCTGTATGGGGCTGTTACAGGATTACCTTCCTCAGGGAAAACAGAGATTATTAAAAGTTTGGCGAAAGCTATTGCTGTACAATTTCGTATTTTCAATTGTGCTGATATATCTTCTTACAATTTTGTGTGTCAAGTGTTTAAAGGATTTGTTTCCTGTGGAGCATGGCTCTGCTTTGAAAATTTTAATAGTCTGAGGTTTGAAATGCTCTCCATGATTACTCAAAATCTCGTTTGCATTGCTCAAGCAGTAAGTGCGAATTTAAAAGCTATAACTCTTGAAGGTGCAATGTTAAATCTGAATCCAACTGGACATATTTGTACTACCACTAATCTTGGCTCATTTAAATACCATAAATTGCCTGATAATTTAAAAATATTATTCAGAAGAGTACACGTGGTGGTACCAGATATTAATAAGATTGTAGAAATTGAATTGTTTGCTGCTGGTATAATTGAATCAAAATCACTAGCTCTAAAATTAACTACACTTTATAAAGTACTCTCTGAACAGCTACAGTGCAAATTATGTAACACTTTTAATATAAATTCTGCAAAAGTAGTTGTTCAAACCTTAACTTATTTGAAAAGGAGATTCCCAGACGAAAATGAAATTGTGTTACTTCTACGATCGATAATTGATGTTAATCTCCCTAAACTTTGCAGTTTAGATACACTTATTTTCCAAAATATTGTTGGCAATATGTTCCCTGATACTACTTTATTGCATCCCAATTATAAAATATTTATAGAAACTCTTGAAACAATATGTGAATCTAGAAATCTACATATTCATGATGATTTTAAATTAAAAATTATACAAGCATTTGAGTTACTGTATATTCATCAAGCAGTGATGTTTGTTGGTGACCCATTTGTAGGGAAAACAGAAATTGTAAGTGTTCTGAAGGATGTTTTAATATCCTTACACAATCAAGGTATAGAATATGGAGTTGATGTAAAGTTAGAAACTATAATTCCAGGAATATCAAATATTGATCAACTCTACGGTCATTTTGATGAAAAATCCAAAATCTGGAAAGATGGAATATGCTCTCAAGTTTTTCGCTCTTTATCAGATCAATCTTTCGAGAAAAAGTGGATAGTATTTGATGCACCATTAAAAGATGTGTGGGTCGAAAGTTTATATACAGTTTTGGATACAAACAAAGTATTACATTTAACATCAGGTGAAAAAATTTATATAACAGATTCAATATCTATTATTTTTGAAACTACAAGTATTGTTGAAGCTTCTCCTGCTATGTTATCAAGATGTGGAGTAATTTATATTGAATCACAGTCTCTTCATTGGAGATCATATGTTAAAACACACATTTATAATCACAATGTTTACAATGGATATGAAGAAACATTATATTCATTAATCGATTGGACAATTGATCCTGTTCTAGAGTTTATACAAAGGCATTGTACTCTAACTTTAATTGTGAAGCATTTACACTGTATAATATCAACATTAAATTTGCTTGAAATGTATTTGAGGGATGCTCACACAGAAAGTACTGAAGAAAAGGGGAAAGCAAATCACTTTATAATATGGATGCAAGCTGCGCTTATATTGTCTATTATGTGGGGATTAGGAGGAAATTTAAATATGGATTCTCACATTAAATTGAATTCCTTCTGTGTGTCACTTTGGAGTGGAAAAAATGAAGAGTTTCCAAAACCCAAAACAATAAAAAATTTTGATGTGACATTACCTCACGAAGGTTTAATACAAGATAACTTTTATATTTTTAAAGGTAGTGGAAATTGGAAATATTGGGGTGACTTATTAAAAACTGTTAAGACGATAGAGATACCTGATACCAATGAGATTTTTGTACCAACAGTCAATAGTTTAAAATATAATCATTTGCTATTAAAACATATTAAATTTAAAAAACCTTTCCTTATTTGTGGAAATGCATCTACTGGGAAGACTTTTTTAATAAAAAATTTATTAAACAACGAACTAGCCAAAGATAAATATTTGATCAATTTGTTTAGCTTTACTTCCATGGATGCTGTGTTAAGAACACAGAAGATGCTGCTCTCTAAATTAAATAAAATCAAAACAGGTCACTATGGCCCTCCAAAAAATCAAATCTGCATCAACTTCATTGATGATCTTTGTATAGAAACACATGATGGTGAATCTGAAATAAATAAAATTCTAGAACTTCTACGACAATACCACAGTCATGGATATTTCTATAATGTTAATGAACCTGAAAAAATATTTATTCACGACACCATATTCTCTCTTGCTGTTATAGGAAATGATTTAATTGAGATATGTCCTAGGTTTTTACGATATTTCAATTTATACAGCATTTATGCTTTGTCTTCAGATACAATATTTAGAATATTTTCAAATGTACTCTTTATCAACTTTAAAAAGAATCTTTTTGCAGCAGATGTCTTAACTAGTGTAACTAGTATAACAAATGCTACAATTGATGTTTATAGTTCAGTAATAAAAAACCTACTGCCAATACCTGCGAAATTTCAATATCAGTTTAGCATGAGAGATGTAGGTAAAGTAATTAATGGCTGTAGTCTTCTTCAAAAGGAATCAGTGGAAACAAAAGTTACTTTCATCCGAATCTGGGCTCATGAAGTGTGGCGTAACTTTGGTGATCGGATATTGGATAACAATGACAAAGAATATCTTTTCTTACAGATTAGAGAAACCACTAAACGTCATTTCAAAGACTCATTTGAAACAGCCTTTGACTACCTGCCAAAGTCTAAAAACAATCAGATTACAAAGGAGTCCTTTAACGATTTAGTATTTAGCAATTTTATGGATACAATAGAAAAAGATAAAAATAAAAACTATGAAGAGATAACTTCTATGGAAAAGTTAAGAAATAAACTTCTTTTTTATCTAAATGGATATAATACAAATTTTAAAAAACAAATTGATATTGCTATAACACAATATGTGTTAGAAAGTCTCATTAAAATTACAAGAATTTTAATTATACCAGGAGGTAATTTATTGATGATTTCCAATATAGGATCTGGTAGAAAATCTATAACAAGTCTTGCAGCTTTTATAAATCAGCAAGAATTGTTTGAGCCATCTTCTTGTAGCCTTGATTTATGGAGAAATGATTTAAAAAGAGTTTTACAAAAGTGTGGTACTTCGAGGGAAAGTCTTACATTTTTTATAAAGGAAAAACAAATATCAGATACCTTTCTTTGTGATATCAAGAGTTTGTTGGTTACTGGTGAAATACCTGATTTATTTTCTACCAAAGAGAGATATGATATTATTGAAATGGTACGTTTGTATGCTCAAGGAGGAAACAAAAATGCAGAAATAAGTACTCGTGCTGTGATGAATTATTTTTTGGAACAATGTAAAAGTAATTTGCACATAATTATATGCTTTAACTCAACAAGCAAATTAATTAGATCATATTTATACAAATATCCGGAGCTGGTAAAGTATTGTACAATGAGTTTCCACAACACTTGGCCAATAAGTGCATTTAAGCAAATAGGTTTAAAATATATTCAAGATACTAATGTCCAAGAAAATATGAAAAAAAATATAATCACGACTTGCATAAAATTGTACGACAGTGCACAAGAAATAAGTAATGAATACTTTAAAGAAACGTCCAAAATAAATCATGTCACATTATTAGCTTTCTTACACATGTTGAAATTATACTCATATCAAGTATCAAAAAAACAGAAAAATATTATTGTTACAAGAAACAGGTATTTAGCAGGTTTAGAAAAATTGGAATTAGCAGCACAACAGGTAGAGAAGATGAAAGCTACATTGATAATGTTAAAACCACAATTAGAAATATCTGCTCAGCAAACTGTAACTACTATGAAGGAAGTGGAGAATGAAAATATCAGTGTAGAAGGAGCTACTATACTTGTGCAGCAAGAAGAAGAAATAGCAAATAAAAAAGCAGGAATAGCTGGTAAGTTGAAAGTGGAATGTGAAGCTGATCTGGCTGTAGCAATTCCAATTCTAGAAGATGCTGTTGCTGCATTGAATACACTAAAGCCTACAGATATTACACTTGTAAAAGCCATGAAAAATCCTCCTGACACTGTCAAGCTAGTAATGGCAGCAGTCTGTGTTATGCTTGATGTAGCACCTGATAAACCTATTGATCCAGTTACTGGGAAAAAGTACACAGACTACTGGGGTCCAAGCAAGCGTATTTTAGGTGACATGAATTTTTTACAGAATTTAAAAGATTATGATAAAGACAACATTCCATCAAATATTATGCAAATCATTAAAAAAACGTATATATCAGATAACAGCTTTAAACCTCATATTGTTGCTAAAGCATCAAGTGCTGCAGAAGGCCTCTGCAAATGGGTCAGAGCAATGGTATCTTATGATGAAGTTGCAAAAGCAGTTGCACCTAAAAAGGAAAAACTTTTTGCTGCACAAAAGGAATGCGACGAAGCTGAAGCTTTTTTAAACGAGAAACGTAAAACACTTTCTGAGTTGAATGCAAAACTTGCAGCGCTAAACAACAGTCTTCAAGAAACATTGCAACAAAAAGTAAAACTCGAGAATGAAGTAGAAGATTGTACCAATAAGCTTAATAAGGCAGAGAAATTAATTGCAAGTTTGGGAGGTGAAAAAGATCGCTGGATGCAATGTGCAGAATACTTACAAGAAAATTATAATAATCTTGTTGGAAATATGATACTATCATGTGGAATAATAAGTTACACAGCATCCTACACTACTATTTTGCGGGATAAGATTGTGGGATATTGGAAACAATATATTGAAGATTTAAAAATACCATTCACTGCTGACTACAATCTAATAAATATACTTGGTGAAGAGAATGAAATTAACCATTGGTATCTTTGTGGTTTACCTAAACATAGATTTTCAATTGAAAATGCAATTATTATGAGTAATTCTGAACTGTGGTGTTTATTCATTGATTCGCAGAATCAAGCAAATCAATGGATCAAAACTATTGAAAAACAAAATGATCTTAAAACTATTAAATTCACTAATTTAGATTATGCATCAGTTATTCAATCTAGTGTTGAAAATGGAAATCCAGTGTTAATTGAAAATGTAGGAGAAAATTTAGAAACAATGTTAGATGCTTTTCTTAAGGACAAAATTTATAATGATGGAAATATTTCGTATTTGGTCATAAATCAGAATATTATAAAATATTCGCCAAATTTTCGGTTGTATATTACAACACGATTATTAAATCCACAATATTCACCTGAAGTATTCAGTAAATTCACTGTAATTGATTTTTCCATTCCAAACGAAGCTCTTCAAGATAGACTCCTCGATCTCGTAATTTTTAAGGAAAAACCAGAACTTCAGGAAAAATTTGAAATACTGCATATGGAAGATGTTAATAATAAAAAAATATTGAAACAACAAGAAGACAATATTTTATGCACCTTATCTTCAACAACCACTAATATTCTTGAAGATGAGAATGCAATAAAAACTTTGGACTTCTCCAAAAATCTTTCTTTAAATATAATTAAAAAACAAGAGATAACAAAATTAATGTCTCAAGAGATCAGCAGATTTCGAGATGCTTATACACAGTTTGTTAAATACTGTGTAGATTTGTTCAATACACTTATTGCTCTGACATGCTTGAATAATATGTATTGTTTTTCTTTTACATGGTTCATGCAGTTATATATTAGATCTATTGAGACCTCGAATAGAAGTATTATTCTTGAAAAGAGATTAGCATATTTAAAATCTTCATTTACTCAAAGCCTTCATGCAAGCATTTGTAGATCCTTATCAGAGAAGCATAAGATACTGTGCTCATTCTTATTATGCTCTAAAATATTATTAGATGATAAGCAAGTCACAAAAGAAGAGATTAAGTATTTTATGTATTCAAACTCCAGACATATTGAAATCATTCCTGATAGTAAACCTAGTTGGTTACCACAAAATATTTGGATAAATATTTGGGATGTTCAGAATACCTTATTAACTTTTAATGGTCTAGTAGAAGATTTTTGCTACAATGAAATAGCATGGAAACAATATTTCACTTCTGAAACACTTCAAAATCAGTTATTACCAAAGCCTTGGATAGACAAATCTTCTTTTCAAAAACTCATACTTACTAAAACTTTAAAACCTGATAAAATTATATTGCAAATAATAGAAATAATAGAAGATATATTAGGAAACACACAAGGCTACTCTCCACAATTTAAAGTGTCTCAATCGTATGCAGACTCCAATTGTTTAACCCCTATTTTATTCATTTTACCAAGTTGTTCATCACCTTTATCTCTTATTTCTACACTCGCAAAAAGAAAGGGTTATTTGTCAAAGTTTATCTCTCTGTCTATGAGCAGAGGTCAAGAAGAAAAAGCTGAATACCTTCTAAAAAGAGCTCAGACTGAAGGCAATTGGGTGTTTTTACAAAATTGTCATTTAGTACCTCATTGGATGTTAGAGCTTGAAAGAATCTGTGAAAATTGCAACATCTCCAATACATCTCTGGGTTTTCGATTATGGTTGTCCAGTTATCCTATTAAAGAGTTTCCAATTAGTATCTTGCATAATAGCGTAAAGATATCACATGATTATCCATTGAATATTAAGGAAATATTGTTAAATATTTATCAGTCCGAACCTGTAGTAAATAATGACTTTTATGAAGGATGTCCAGGAAAAGATAAAGTTTTCTCTAAACTGCTATTTAGTTTATCTCTATTTCACGTGATTGTAGAAGAGAGAAAACGCTTTGGTATTCAAGGATGGAATATACCATACGATTTTGATTATTCTGATTTTTATATATCTGCCATGCAAATGCAAAGCTTTATAAATGGTGCTGATTATACACCTTTTGATATTATTCAATACTTTATTGGAGAATGTAATTATGGAGGAAAAATAATGAATAATCTTGATAAAAGAGGACTGCTGCATCTATTTAATGATTACTGCAATTTAGAGATATTTAAAAATGAGAGAGCAGAGTTGATGCCACAAAGATGTGAATATATCCATGTGATTAAATACATTGAAGAAATGCCTTCTGATTTATCTTCCAAAGTTTTTGGATTCAGTAAAAATGGAGCTATAATTCGAGATACAATGATGGGTACTGAATTCTTGTCATTCATCTCAATCATGAATCCTATTGATCATTTATTAAATGATCAATTGCCTCAAGATCAAATATTACTTTTAATCAGTGATATAACTGATAAATTGCAGGATTCATTTGAAATTGATCACTTGGAAGAGAATGAGTCTTCTCTGCTTCAAGAACCTTTGAATAGGGTTCTTTTGTGTGAAGCAAAGTTATTGAAACATACTTTAACAGTTCTAATTCGAACATTAAATAGTTTAAAATTGGCATTTGAAGGATCTCTTCCATTTACTGATTCTTTACAGACAACCTCAGAAAGGATATACAAAAATAAAATTCCTCATATCTGGAAAAATATGAAAAATAATAATATAACAGACAATTTAGGATATTACGTTGATAATTTAATGAAACGCATACATTTTCTTAAACAGTGGATGAATGAAGGCTGTCCTAGTATTATTTGGCTTGATGCATTATTTTTTGCTAAAATGTTCTTCTCTACAATTTCATCAACTTTTTCTAAAAAATACAATATACCTATTGAAGAGATTGAGCTTGAATTTAAAATTATGAACGGAGGAACTGATACAGAAAATGTTGATGCATACTTTATTCGTGGTTTACATTTATCTGGAGCTCGGTGGAACACCGAAAAAAATATATTAACCGAAACATTTAAATACATTTATTGGCAGGATATGCCACCTATATGTGTTACATTTTCACGTAATAAAAAAGATATGGATAATGTGTATCAATGCCCTGTATATGTAACTGCCGCCCAATGTGCTGATAAAAGTATTAAAAGTATATCAAATAATTATATAATTAATATACCATTAATAACAGATCGAAATAGGTCATATTGGGTAAAATGTGGTACAGCTTTATACTGTCACAATTCATAACAGAGTTGAGCATTAATCGATTAAAATTGTTTATTTTATGTCATTATATCATTAATATAATTGATGATGAAATAACAATTTAATCATAAAAATGTATATATAACACTGATGATCATTGTAAAAACATTTTTTTTTATAAAAATGGAGTAATGCATATAGATATTAAATAATATAATAAATCGTAATCCAAGTACGTAATTAGTATTATGTAATTTCACATAATATATTGTACGGAGATGCAAAAGCTACTGAAAAATCAAGACGCGTATGAAGTGTATATTCAAATATTTCGCGGATTTGCTGACTATATGTATCCGGTTCGGTTCCATATAAATGGAAGGAATGACAGGTAAATTGAAGAAATTGACGTAAAGTTGTGTTACCGAACAAAGGAAATTATTGCTAAAAGGATATTTTCACAACGGTTTAGAATCGGGTACAATATCGAATTCACTGTAAGTCGTCTAATATTTGCGATCAATGGCGAGCCACGAAGAGTTGGTTTCGCAATTTACAGATGTAACTGGTGTAGAATCTGAACGAGCACGATTTTACCTTGAATCATCTGCTTGGCAGCTTGAGGTGAGACAGCATATTTATTAAATGTTTTATATAAGTTAATATAAATAATATCAATTAACGAATGATTCACTTTTAGCAATACTCTGCAATCAGTTAAAACTTCATCATTGGTTTTATAACCTTAAATGCCATAAATTTAAATACTATTACTATAACAAAGTGGTGTGATATTAATATTATATATTTTCAAGTAGTAGTTTATAACTTTTATTATTCACGAATAATAATCAAATAATAATAATCAACGTTATAATAAAAATGCCTAAAAATCAACAGACATTTATAATTAAAGCCAATTCTTTCCATTGTGTAGCTTCTTATTAATTGGTCAGATATTTCTAGTGCACAGATTCCCAGTGTGCGTGAGATTGTAAAGAATTATTTTTCTATAGGCTCATACAAAGCGAGGAAGTCTTTTGTTCCAGTAAATTAACATATCATGTTTCTTCTTTAAATGTTTCAGGTTGCTCTTGCCAGTTTTTATGAGAATGATGATTTAAGACCTGCTGCATTAATCCCTGAACATACAGAAGATTCAACAGCAGAGGAGGAATATACGCAGACATCAGACACAGAAATGGAAGGACAGTCATTGAAAGAAACACCAAAAATAAAATCTAGATTTGCAACACTTAATGATTTCAAGGATAAAGAAAGTAGCCCAGAAGATGCACAGACATTTTATGCTGGTGGTTTTGAAAACAGTGGACAACAAGTTATAGGACCACCAAAGAAGAAAGATATTATCAGTGATATGTTTAAATCGTGTCAGGGACAATCGGTTAAGGTAAAACCAACATCAAGTGGTCAGCAAAGACCCAATACTTTTAGTGGTACAGGATATAAATTAGGTCAAACAAACTCTGATAGTGAAGGTACACTTTCAATACTAATAACTCAATAAAATTAAATTATGAATTCTGCTATAAACTATGTTTCCTTTCATCTAGTTGTTGCTGCTTCATCTTCTAATCAACAGTCTAATTCTCGCCCTATTACTTTAAAGTTATGGATGAATGGATTTACTGTAAATGATTCTGACCTTCGGTTATATACCGATCCAGAAGATAGGAAATTTTTAGATACTATTAAAAGAGGTGAAATACCACCAGAAATTCGTCAAGAATTTGTGAAGAGCACAGAGGCATGGATAGACATAGAAGACCATCATCATGAAAATTATCTTCCTCCAAAAGTCAAAGTGAAAACTTTTACTGGAAAGGGTCGCATGTTAGGAAGGTTTGCAGTATACCTTGTACAACAAAACTTTTTGTGTATATATAATCCACATATTTCTAATAATCTCTTTATTCAGTCCTTCTCCAGCAACTGTTGGTATGACAATACCAACTGATCTAGCAGATCAAGCAGCAAACGAATCAGAAGCTAAGAAACAATTAAATTTAGATGAATCAAAACCTGTTACAACACTTCAAATTCGTCTTGCCGATGGTACTAATGTGAAAGTTCAATTTAATTTAACTCATACAGTCAGTGATTTGAGGCAGTACATAGTAACGTATCCTTTTATAAATAAAGTATTATTATTATATCACTAATCCCGCCGACCGTAAATGGTATTCGGTCGGATGTGGTATAAGTCTGGGTGTACCCACTAAACCCTTCCTAAGGCTTCAGCCCATAATACCGCATCCCTCATGGTCTTGCCTTATTGGCATTGCTGCTCTAAGGGACGGGGTGACTAGAGTCTGATTATTTTCTCCTTACTTACAAGCTACTTGACTAGGACCGTAGTTACCCGTGTATTTGACTTCGTCCTTTGCGTCTCACGGATTTTGTAATCTATGAAATATATAGATTATTCCTTAATCAATTACATCTTAGTATGAGACCTCAGTATGCTACGAGGGAATTCAGTTTATTGACAACATATCCTACTAAGGAACTTCCTGATGATAAAACAATTGAAGAAGCTGGTATACAAAACACTGCAATCATTCAACGACTGAAATAAACATTTTCTCTAGATCTTTAGTTATGGATGCTTAAGTGATGTATCAATTAGATCATTCTTAAATATACATTTACATACTTGAAAGTAACAGTTCAACACCTTTCGTTTAGTGACAAACGCGACTTGCTCTATAATTTCAATATTTATTTTAATGTTTT